CTATTGGCCTTCTGCGTATAAGTCAGAATGAAAGCCGTCTGCTTTCGGGGGTTTCAGGCCATGCTTCACAGTGTGTAATTGAAACCAAGGAACGCAGAAGCACAGAACGGGGCGACAGCTCTAGTTATCTGCCCCCAAACTGTGAGTTGCGGTTCTGTGCAGGGAAAGTTCTGGCTTGTTGGCCATGTTCTTAATGGTACCTTGTAAAGTCAAGGATGTGGCTACTACTGCTTGGAAATGATATGTGCTTTGGGAGTAAAGCTACAAGATAAAGAGAAGAAAAGTAACTTTTACTCATTAGATTCCAATTGTGAGTCAGACCCCTACTGGCTCCTGTTTTAAGTGATACTTACCCTTTCCCAGTTCCCTGCGAGGTGGATATTACTGCCTTTGTTTTTCAGCTGAGGAAACTGAGAGACTCATGTCACACAGAGTCCAAACTCTGTAATCAAGATTGTCTTATACAAAATCCCACTGGGCAAAATAAAGCCACTGACTCCAAGGATAAGGAAAAGACTATAGAGGAAGGAGAAACAGGTATAAAACCACCAATTAAATTTACTGAATGTGTTTACTTTTTCCAAGTCCCCCTAGAAAGTAATGTATTTTCTGCCCTCGATTTATTTTACATTAGGGACCGAACCGGATGCGCGCGGCTGACGCTAAATGGGCAGTGAGTATAAGAGCCCCAAGCTGAAAAAGACAGAGACTCTCAACAATCCAGACAACTCCCTATCTGGTGTTACACCTTCCCCTCAACATCTGCTCCTCATGGGGTGCCCAGAAACTCCAGCCCCAGGTCAGTCCTCGAGAGTGAGATGGAAAACAGACTACAGGCAAGGAGAGTTAACCATCCAGGGCCCCTCAGTGTCTCGTCCCTACTGACTCCAAGTATCTAGAGAAGCATTAACTAGAGTGTGGACTCCAACCCGAAATGGTAAAACTTGAATCTTTAACCAAAGAACTAGAACAATGCTTATTTATTTATTTATTTATTTTAGAGCAATGCTTTAAAACTACAAGTTATGATACATTAATGGGTTGTGAAATAATTCACAAGCTTGTCACCAACATGTTTTAAAAAGTGGATAAAGGAGGACAGTATAGAAAAACAAAATATCAAAACACTGTACAAACCAAATATAAGCATTGTATTGTGAACTCGTGTTAGGGATGTGTGCATGTGTGTAAACACATAAATACACACTGAATACATAGATACACAATATCTGTAAATGTATAAGTGAATGCTTAATTTCTGGAGTTTGACACCTTGCTGTGACCAAAGGAAAAATTTATTTTATTACCCTAGGACTTGGTTTTCTACATGTAAAATTGAGACAGGAATACTCCCTAACAATACAGTAATTCTTATTTCCTTTATAATTGTGTATGGTGAGAATTTATTGAAAGTTAACAGTTCACCTTATAACCAATATCCAATAACTAATATTTTGAAAATAAAACAGTATTTTTGAGTGGCAAAATTACAGTTGTTTTAATTTTTTTTCCTTTATAGTTTCCACTGTGTTTTCTGTTATCTAAATGAGCATACATTTGTTACTTTTTATAATAAGAAAAAATATGGTTGTATCTTTTAAAACAACTAAACCCTCAATGTTCTCTGCACTGAAGAGGAAACTGTTTTTTACCACAAAGGCCTTCAAAGGGGGAAAAAAAGCAATAATTTTAAAAATACAGAACAACTTCCAAGAGCAAAATATGCTTTGGTGGTTTTGGTTTTGTTCTGTTGATAAGGTCCATGACTATGCAGTAAGTGTATAGGTTGGACATTTTATGCAGGAAAAAAATATTTCAACACCTGGAAGCTACAGCAAATTGCTATCTGATTTGGACCCCCCCGCCCCCGGCCAAGCGGGAAAGTTTTCTCCCAACACCATTGCTGATAAAGGCGGCTGCTTGAAAGTGTTTCTCTAGCAATTTTGAAGGAAGGATCTGCAAGGCACCAGCATGGGTTGACTTTGCAAAATTTGTTTTGGCTCTTTGAGTCACACTTCCCGACTCTAATTAAGTACATTATCATTGTCGGAAGCAGGACATTAAAGGAAGATAAGGAAAAAAAATCTTGGGGCGCCTGGGTGGCTTAGTAGGTTAAGCATCCGACTTCGGCTCAGGTCATGATCTCACGGGTTCCTCGTGTCAGGCTGTGTACTGACAGCTCAGAGCCTGGAGCCTGCTTCAGATTCTGTGTCTCCCTCTTTCTCTGACCCTCCCCTACTCACGCTCGGTCCCTCTCTCTCTCTCAGAAATAAATAAAACATCAACACATTTTTTTTTTAATCTTACCTCCCATACTCCATTTACAGTATTTTCTCTCTCAAAGTTCATTTGCTTAAGGAACTTTGATTCCTATTACAACAATATTTTGCTGCTTATCACCAAGAATCAGTCTATTAAATGCCTCAGCCTACACTCTGGTCTGACTGGGATGGTACACTGAGAGCAGTATTCAGAGCAACAATAATAATTATAGTTGCTGATTTTTTTAAAAAAATGTTTATTTATTTTTGAGAGAGAGAGAGAGAGTTGGAGAGGGGCAGGGACAGAGGGGGACAGAGGATCCAAAGCAGGCTCTGCACCGACAGCAGAGAGCCCGATGCGGGGCCTGAACTCACAAACTGCAGATCATGACCTGAGCCAAAGTCGCATGCTCAACTGACTGAGCCACCCAGGTGCCTCAATATAGTTGCTGATTTTGAAGCACAGCTTAGCAGGAGGAACTGCACCAGGTGTTTTGCCCACATCATGTGTTTAGTCCTGACGGTCATCTATGAAGTAGACACTCATGCTATTCTCACTGCACAGATGAGGAAACTCAGGCTCAAAGGGGCAATAAGCATGGCACAGCACTGGTGCCAGGCTGAGGACTTTAGGCCTTGAAGGTTTTATGCAAAAAGGTATTTGTATTTTGGAAAGCTTACACAGGTGGTCTGTGTGAGGTGGACCGGAGGTAGAAACACCAGGTGGGTGAAAGCTGATTGGAAGACCATCGTTTACTCCCCATAGACACGTCAGCTGTGCAGAATCGTAGACTGTCCTCCAGTCATGCTGAGGAGTTAATGGTCTTGTGTCTTTCTACTTATTTTTCATCCGGCATTTCTGTTCTTCCCTTTGGCCCCCAGCAAATTCCCACTCCACATCTAAGTGCTGTGCGTGGGACAGCCCCTCCCTGAAGAAGAAGCTAACAGGCAATGGGCTGTGTGAAAGGCAGCGCACAGGTAGTTGGGCGTCCGAAGCATCTGCTTAGCCTCTAACAAGCTGTGGCTTTGGGAGGTTTTGTATCTTTCTGAGACTTACCTCAATTCTGCAGTGGGTGTGGAATACTACATTCCATGCCAAGTGGGTGTGGAAATTTAGATGATACTTTGGCACATCAAGCGCCTCTATAAATAGAGTTTCTTGAAGTAGTTGATTATCTCAGAGGCTCTCCCCACACCCAAGGAGAATGAATTGTACCAGTCTCCATTTTCTCTTAGCAGTCCATTCCCACCTCTACGCACTGTTGCATTCCGTTGAAATGACATTAACTCACAAGCAAGGGTCTGTAGTTTTCTGTTGCCTCAACTAGATCCTACCTCCTTGCCCATTAATGGTCAGCTGAAGAGTGCTACTTTTTCCCAGAGATTTCCATGCCCTAACCCTGGGATGTGTGAAAATGTTACCTTATATGGAAAAAAAAAAGAGTTTGCAGATGTGTTAAGGATCTTGAGAGCATATTATCCCAGACTATCCAAGTGGGCCCAATGTAATCACAGGGGGCATTTTTAAAAATTTTTTTAGAGACAGGCAGGGTATAAGAAGTAGAAATGTCAGAGAGGAAACGTGACAACTCAAACAGAGGTTGGAGTGATGTCGTTTGGAGGTGAAGGAAGAGACCATCTAGCACAGCACTGCAGGTGGCCTCAAGAAGCTAAGAAAGACAGAGGAACTGATTATGCCCTGGAGCCTGGAGAAAAGAAAGCAGCTCTGAAGACACCCTGAGTTTAGTCTGTAAGCCCCAAATTGGACTTATGAGTTCCAGGACCGTAAGATAATAAATGTGTGTTGTTTAAGCCATTGTGTTCATGGGACTTTGGTACAGAAGCAATAGGTAACTAACACAACCTCCTTTGTCCCCAAGATATAGTGGTGTCTTGCCCAAACATGAAACATGTACTATCTTGCACTTCTCTCTTTTCCACAGCTGTTTAACATACAATCTTGATTTCTCCAATGTCAAGGGATTCATGGAATGGTGGTAGACTGCAAATAAAGTTTTACTAAATGCGAGAATACCAAATGGGAGAATACCAAGGAGAACATCTGCTCAAGACATTTGCAGGCTTACAGGAACATTCACAGCCGATGAATGGGGTGTAGTAAAAACCAATTCTATAGGTTTGACAAATGTGGGATTCACTAAAGGTAGTAATGTGGGTATCAGAACTGTTCTTAACAGCTTGCCTTGGTGAAATGTCCTTGTTATCAAAGCACCAATAAAGAGTAAAATAGTTTAATGTAATTCTCTGGAAAGTATAAATATATTTCCACTAAGTAGTAAAGAATCTTAGTTTCATTTGTATTATTTTTTCTAATATTTAGATTGAGTATAAATCCTAAGGGGATTAAAGCAGAGCCTGTTATTTATTTATTTATTTATCTATCTATCTATTTATTTATTTATTTTAAAAAGGCTCTGAAGTTTTCAGTGTGATTAATATTTACCAGCAAAGCTAATGATAACATTAATACGTAAATAAAGTAATGCAATCATGTAAATATGCAAATATATATGAGTCAATTCATAATACTAAATGAAGCCAGTCTATTAAACCAAACTTCCATTCAAGTATATTTTTCCTTAAAATTCTGGAGATTTTCTTTTAAATGAAATTGTGATGTATCAACACTATTTCTTTGCTCTATTAAGAAATATACCACATGTCGATTTATTTTATTTATTTAGAATTTGGAGGACAATAAAAAAACGTCAGGAGATTTTTCCACATTAGATTGAAAATGAATAAAACAAAAACCATGTCACGTTGCAAACGTACAGAGTCAGGCAGCTAGTAGCTAGCTCTTCAAAAGCTTCCTGATTATTTTTTTATACAGGGGGGTGTTCGGGTCCAGGCATACCTTCCTACCATGCTTCAGAGTAGCTCTGCCAGAGAAAAGATTTGAACGTGGGGTTAGACGCGTAGCGAAGCGGGGTGTGGAGGCACGCAGGCTAAGGCAGAGGAGGCAGAGAGCTGCCCCCGCCCCCCCAAGCCAGTGCAGGGACTCACATTATCTGGGGAATGGAGCAGTGGGGTGCGGCACCCAGCACCTCCAGGCTGTTGATGTGCTTGGGATGGACTCCGGAGATGGTCTTCACACACACGCAGCGCAGGTGCTCCTCGTGTTCTGCGTCCACTGGGTGGGGGTGAGGGGGGGAAGCAGTGGAGGAGAGAGTGGTGACTCAGGGAACCGTTGAACTTACCTTAGGGATCTTTTTCATTGCGTTTGGCTTCCATTTCCTCACCCACAAATCATACTCCCTCAGAGAGAAGTGTTATCGACAAGATAGTAAAGTGCCCTGGGCAGCTCGTGGCACAGCACCCGCACACCTAGGGAGATCTCAAAAGATTTTAAAAATTGCTCCCCAGCCCTAGGGGATCCCCCTGACTGCCTCTCGGCCACCCCGCGCCCCCACCGTCCCCTCCACGCCTTGCTTTAGCTCTCACCTCTGGGGAGGGCGACCACAGCTGGCAAGAGCAGCAGCCCCAGGAGCAGCAGCCGCAGGCTGGCCCAGGGGCTGGGCGCGCGGGAACCAGCTCCAGCTCCAAGCTTCATGTCCGGCAGGTGCCAGCAGGAGCCGAGGGTGCAAGGGCAGTCGCGGCAGCCGCTTTGCAGGCCAGTGGCTCCCAAGACTTTCGAGGCCGGTTTTATCCCCACTGTCCGTCCTGTCCTGTCCGGAAGCGTGGTGCAGATGGTGGGGGAAGTGGCCACACTTCTGGGAAGAGTTAGGCTATGGTCAGCCAAGATTGGGGGAGGGGGGGGGAAGCCTGCGGTCAGCTGTCTTGGCTGGGAGCTGGGAGCAGGATGAACACCCCCAACCTAAATTCATATACATGCACATGGGTGCAGTTAGAGACACTATCTGACCCTGTCTGTTGCCTTTGTTCTGTGTTATTGCAGAGTTCTCTGAGATCACCATGTTGCAATTATACAGCTGGTGCCTTCAGACGGGAAGACGTTTGTGTTTCCTTCCCAACTGACAATTGCCTTTTCAAGAACTGCTCATCCCTGCCTGCCTTTCCTACCGATTACCATTGAGTTGAGCTGTGTGGCTGTGTGTGTTAAAGGTGTGCCTTTGTAGTTGTTATCTTGCTCATTAAAAAGTTTAATTTGATCTTTAGTCAGATGACTCAGTTCTGAATTTCACCCGAAGGTGGAAGTTTCCTCGGTCTCTTGAACAGGATCTACCCCGCCCTCAGCTTTCATTCAGTATTCTCTAGGGAACAAAGTCTGTTACCTTGGTCTATCCTTGTACCCTGAGAAAAATTACGAAGGTAATATTGGAATGCATGCTTTCTATAAAAAATTGGTGCCCAAATATTTTTGCTTTGGGCCTGGCCCAGAAGTGAGGTCAAGCAGGAGAGTTTCCAGGCCACATTTCCCAGAGCCTGCTGTGACCTGGATCAGTGCCAGTTTAAGTCAGGCCGCACAGTTGGCTGGATCAGTGATGCTCTACAGAGGTCATAGAGCATATGGGAGTGGAGTGTAGAAAGATGTAGAAGAGTGGGTGGAGGGTAGGTAACAAAATCCTGCAAAGTAAAGGTCAAGAGATCAATATGGACCATCTTCCCTTCTCTGAAAAAGGATGACTTGCGCTCTTTTTATTAAATAATTTTTTAAGTGTACTTATCTTGAGAAAGAGAGAGAGAGAGAGAGAGAAACAGAGCAGGGGAGAGACACAGAAAGAGAGAGAATCCCAAGCAGGCTCCATACTGTCAGTGCAGAGCTTGATTTAGGGCTCGAACTCATGAACTGTGAGATCATTACCTGAATGGAAATCAAGAGTTGGGTGCTTAACTGACTGAGCCATCCAGGTGCCCTTACTTGGGCTCCTAATCATGGCAAAGTATACCGTCGCCTCAAAGCCAGAGGCTTTCTGTCACACTAATTAACAGCGGTGAAGGGCATTAATAGCCCATGGCATGAAACTGGCTGACTTCTGAAAGCTCAGCAGGACCAAGCTTTCTGCAGGGTTATGCAATGTACTTCCTCTGCCTACACTGTTCTTGCTCTTCATATCCCACGCTTGCCTTTCAGCTAAGTCCTGTTCGAATTTCTGGTGTCAGCCTAACATCACTTCCTCAGCGAGGCCTTTCCTGACAGCGACAGCTAATTGTGTTCCCTGTTGTGTTTCTGTAACACCCCTGCATTTGCGATGTCTCCCAGATATAGATATTACACATGCAGATGTGTGTGTGTGTGTGCGCGCGCGCGTATGTGCGTGCGCACGCACGCGCACATTCGAAACTGTTTAAAATGTTTTCTGAGGCACCTGGGTGGTTCAGCTGGTTAAGTGTCCAACTTCAGCTCCCCAAGTCGGGCTCTGTGTTGACAGCTCAGAGCCTGGAGCCTGCTTCGGATTCTGTGTCTGTGCCTCTCTCTGCCCCTCCCCCCATTTCTCAAAAATAAACATTAAAAAAAATTTTCTTAAATGTTTTCTCTTCCCAAAGGCAAAGCTCTATGAGGTGAGCAATCATAACATTTATCACCATTCTAGAACATGGGTAAGGACTCAATATATGTTCATGAAGATAATAAAACTTGAAAATTATGATGCTCAGGTTTTGACTTGCTCCTCTGTGAGTTTCTTCCTACACTTAGAGCAGACCTCTATATCTACAGGTGTCCCATCAGGTTTGGTTATTTGTCAGCCTGTCAGCTTCTCTGACCAGACAGTGATCTCTTCAAGGACAATTCTCTGGGACTTACATAGTTTGAACATCCAGCCTCCAATGCAACGGCTGACAGTTACAGAATGTATTGTAACTTACACAAGTGTATTAGACTAAAATGTGAGATCCCAAATAGGGTTGGTGGTAGAGGGGATGGAGGAAAGAGATGGTTTGGGATATGAACGGGCGGGATACTGGATTTTACAACCTTACCCCCAGATGTCAGTATTTACAGGAAGTAGTAAGGGTCATTAAATGATTCTTTCTCTGCATTACATGAAATAGTTTAATGCACACAAAAACAAAACACATATGCATCTTAGGAGGTATCGGACAGTGAAGAAAAATGGTGTCATGTTTCAGGAGCTGACCCTGTAGGTAGCAGTAGGAAACCACTAGAGAAATGAATGGAATGTCTGAGCTCTTTTGAATTATTGAAGAAAATCTAATGAAGATGATTGCAATCTCCATTTTCTGCTTTATTACATGTTTATATATGTGTGTATTTATATATTAACTATCACTTACTAAATGCGTTTATTTTGTAGACGAAACAGTTTAAGGCACTGAGCCTATACTAACGAGGAGATAAGAAAAGGAGATCTTAATATACAAAATTTGTGAACTAAATGCTTAATACATGAGTGTTCCCCCAAAGTCCATCTACAGGTTGCGGTTGGTGAACTTATTTCTCCTACCACCATCACAGTATGCTGTTTCATGATCAGAACCTATTTTTGTGGCCAATATATTGTGATATAGAATATAAGCCCTTCATTAGAGAAAGAAAAATCAAGGAAAGTGGTGTGGTGGTTAAGAGCAGAGCTTCAATTACTCACTCTGTCATCTACTTATTTATCTGATCTTGGGGCAAATTTCCTAATCTCTTTGAATTTCAGTATTCTTCTCTATAACACCGAGAATGCTAATAGTACAACAAACAAATAGTAAAAATAGTCACTAACACTCATATAGGGCTTCTTGTGGGACTGCTAGCCCTTCGAATCTATTACCTCTTTTAATTTTCACATTAACTGTGAAAGCAATATTACTATCCCATTTTTAGAGGTGAAGAAACTAAGGTACAGAGAGGTTATGCAACCTGTCCGAAGTTACACAACTAGCAAGGGGTAGACCTAATTTACCCAATTATTCTCTTTGCAGAGGATGTACTTTTAACCAGGTCCTAGCTAGCTTGTGAGAATCATTTAATTCACGCACACAAAACACTTAGTATGCCCAGCATATTAAAATTTATCACAAATTTTTCACTATGATTATAATAAATTAAAAATGACACAGATCAGTGGCACTTGGGTGGCTCAGTAGGTTAAGTGTCCGACTATTGATTTCAGCTCAGGTCATGATCTCACAGTTCATGAGATTGAGCCCTGCATCGGACTCTGTGCTGATAGCATGGAGCCTGCTTGGGATTCTCTCTCTCTCTGTCTCTCTCTGCCCCTCCCCTGCTTGCACATACATGCTATTTGTCTTTCAAAAATAAACAAACAAACTTTAAAAATAATAATAATTGGGGTGCCTGGGTGGCTCAGTCAGTTAAGCATCCGAGTTCGGCTCAGGTCATGATCTCACAGCTTATGAGTTTGAGTCCCGCATCGGACTCTATGCTAACAGTTAAGAGCCTGGAGCCTGCTTCAAATTCTGTCTCTCTCTCTTTCTCTGCCCCTACCCTGCTCGTGCTCTCTGTCTCTCATAAATGAATAAATGTTTAAAAAATTAAAAAATAATAATAATAAATAAAAAATCTAAAAATAACACAGAGCATCAACCAGCTGTTTTGTGTGCTATATTGTGAAATAAAAGAAGTGTAAAAGAAAGAGGGAGTTATTAAGGCTTTTCCCCCCAACAATCCTGTTAAAATTAATAATATATGACTGCAAAGCAGTAACAAGTTTTGATTTCATGTTAATACATGTGTGAGAATAGTGTGGGTATAAATTTAAGGGATTAAGAAATAAATAACCAAAGGGAATGAGGAGAGAATGGGCAAAAGGGATACAGGGGAATAGGAAGTGCAGGCTTCCAGTTACGGAATGACTAGGCCACGGGGGATAAAGAGCACAGCGTGGGGGGTATAGTCAGTGGTGTTGTAATAATGTGGTACAGTGTGGGATGGTAGCTGTCTTTGGAGCGCACGGCACGAGGTAGGGAGAAGGTCAGTCACTCTGCTGAAATGAATGCAATGTTGGCTCTCAACTATATTCCAATAAAAAAGCGTAGAAAGTATAAAAGTTCTATTGATTATAAAACAATAATTAAAAGTCTGATAAAGTTTGAATTTTTTATTTTACTTATTCGCAAGGTTGATTCTAATACTAAAATTGTAAGCAGACAGGATGTGAATGCAAATAAAAACAAACTTTCCAGGTTAAAACATTTAACACCACAAAGAATCTATGTTATTATTAGGATTATTATTGAAAATACTGGAGTTTTTTATAGAGGCAATGTTAATGCTTTTTGTCATTTTTTTTTAATTCTATAGTATTAAATATATTCACTTTAAAGTAAGTGGCCACAGCTTACAAGACTCACATTCTACCACTGTATTATTTTTAGGGTTGAAGGCTGAAATAAACACTATAAAAACTGTTCAAAAAATGCTTGGAAACAAGGCATCCTAAGACTAAGACAATGAAAAAACTCTATTCTGGGCTCTTTGTGATTCCTCATAACAATGACCATTATGGAATCTCTTAATTATCATGAATATAGCTAGTCTCATAGTAAAGTAGAGCAAGATAGGTTAACACACATGTAAATACTTGGAAAGAAAATTTTAAATAAAGGAGTGCAAAGCATAGAGCCACATTCAGCCAAGAGTTAGGGAATAAACCATATATTTTGACAAGTAGCTTGCTGACTGTTCTCTGTCATCTACGAACCAGCCTTCTCAGAATACTATGTGACATTTCAAGGCAGAATGGAAAACATATCCAAAGTTTAATACAATATGAATAGGTATTTTGGATGAGTAAGAACTCCAGAAAGTCAAACCTTAAACTCCTACCCTTTTGGGATGTAGGAAGATTTGACAGACAGTGAACAGATTAAGCCATTGGCCCATTAACTTTCCAAAATTTTCTGGACTATTTTCTTGATTTTGGGAGCTTCTGGGTTCAGGCAGACTTTGTTCCCGTTCTTCAGCGTGGCTCTGCAAGAGGGAATGGAATTATCTGTGAGCGCCCTGGCCTGACCCTCAGAAGAGATTCACGGGGCCGGACAAAACTATGTCGGTGGGGACAGAGGTGGAGAGTTTCCCTAATGCCCGATGAGGCAATGATTCAGAAGCAGGGACTTACATCACTTCGACGTTGGCACAATGGGGTCCTGCCCTGAGCACCTCCAAGTTCTGGATGTTACTTGGATGAATGCCAGAGACGGTGTTCATGCACAAGCAGCGAAGTTCAAGGAACGGCTCCAGGTCCACACTTCCAGCTAGGATAGAAAGCGTGACTCTATTAGCGGTCCAGATTCTTGTGGCGATCTTATCTATTGACTTGTTTCCTTAGTCCCCTTATGAGTTACCTGTACCGCTCTCATAAAGTCACTGCGTGTATGATCTTCCAATCTTTAGTAAAGTACCTTAGCAGAACACCTTGGCACACGTTAACTACCCGCTAAGCATCCTCTCTCCACTTAGAGTTACTAGTATAATGGCCTCCCCAGGAGGGCAGCTTTACCCCCAAGGCCTGCTGCAGCAGAAGCAGCCACAGCTGCAGAGCGGCAGGGACGCCACCCTCAGCGTTCCTTAAGTTTCTCTTACTTTCTCCAGCGGTGGAGGGAACCAGCGTGCTCAGGAGCAGGGTTAGCAGGAGCCACACCTGGAGGGCCGGAAGTGGGCTGGCGCTGGTGCAGGAGGGGGTGGCGTTAGGTCTGAGGCCCATGGTGGAGACGACTAAACCGGAGTCGTTCCTAGAGGCAGGAGACCTCAGCGTGAGGGTGAATTGCTGTCTAGAAGTGTGCAGTCATATGGTTTTTCATGCTCTCCCGAGGCCTTTTATACAAGCCCCCTCAAGGCCAGTAAGGAGAAAAAGATAGGGAGGAAGTGAGGGTATGTGGAAGCGTTGGTCAAGTTGTGCCTAACCAAGATAAACGCCAGGCAGGTCAGGTTCCTGCTCAATTACATTTATGCTTCCCTTCACAGTCCCCCCCCCCCCCCCCCCCCCCCCTTCTAACTACCCATATCGATTACATGAATATAACCTTCCACGTAAGGAGGTAACAACTAGACTGAAGTACTAACAAATTTTCTTTGTGTATCTATATGATAACACTCTGCTTTCCCTATAAGGCAATTTATAGTCTTAATAAACACTTTATGACTATCTGAAAGCATAAATATATGGCCCTTTCCAGTTGCCAAAGAAAGCAGATGTTCCTAACTTGGTTGTTGATAAATGTTAGGGTTTGTGTACAGTATGTGGATGAAGTGTGAGCCAAATACCACAAAAGGCTCACTTTGCATATTAGTTTATGGGCTGCTTTCTGTTTTCCAAATGTATTGTTTTTTATAATGTGATCCAGAAACAAGAAGAAAAGCTCATCCTCTCTCATGTTATAAAATAAACTACTTGTTTCTATCACCTGAGTCTATTCTAAAGAGCAAGATCCAGCATATTTATTTTTTCTTTTCTTTTTAATATTTTAAGGAAATAGATAATATAATTTATTGTAAAAGGTTCACACACTGCAGATGTATGTGGAATAAAACATGTAAGTTTCTCCTCATCATTCTTCTACACCGTCACTCTCCAGTGGTAACCTTAGGTAAGAGTTTGGCATTAGTTTTCTATCCTGTCTGCACTTATATATGTATATAGAGAGACACACACATCACTCACAGAGAAACACATATGTCCATAGAGGGAGACATAGATTTTTTAATATAAAAGCAAATCACTAGATGGTTGGCTTTTGCTCTTCAAAAATATGCTTCAGCATCCTTTCATGCTTCCCAAGGTCGTTTCGGCCCATCCTCTTTATCCGCGTGACATTGTATGGCACGGGAAATCCTCAACCAATCTGTCTTATTGGTGACCTTGAGGGTGTTTCCAGTTTTTCAGTACTACAGATTGCAACAAAATCTCTTTTCTTCAGTTCTCAGAGCCAATCACGGGTTTTGATCTCAAACCCTGTGTGATATAGAGAAAGCGGAGGCAGAGGCAGACCTACACATCACATGCTGGCCTGTGTATTCTCTTGTCTGGGTCTCTCTTTCTTCTCTAAAACTTGCTTCTTCAACTGGACTGTACACATTTGAAGGCAGAGGTATGTCCTATGTTTCTCTGAATGCTTTAGGTATTTTTTGGTGTGTAGGCTAACACAATACACAGTGGGTCTTAAACAGTGTTAGTGAGTATATCAATGAGTATCACATGAAGGAAAGTTTCTCTTTCCTTTTTATTTTTTTTTATAAATTTTTTTTAATGTTTTATTTATTTCTAGGAGAGAGAGAGAGACAGCGTGAGCAGGGGAGGGTCAGAGAGAGAGGGAGTCACAGACTGAAACAGGCTCCAGGCTCTGAGCTGGCAGTCAGCACAGGGCCCGACGCGGGGCTCGAACCCACGAACCGCGAGATCATGACCTAAGCGAAAGTCGGACGCTTAACCGACTAAGCCACCCAGGCGCCCCGACTCTCTTTCCTTTTTAATCAGACACAATCTTCAGACCAACCTCCATGTGATCCCAAATATCTATGGTATAAAAATGATGATTTGGAAGTCTGGGACTAAAGGATAAGGTTCTAGCCACAAGCTGTCTTCCTAAGACAATTTATGTACCAATCTCACACAATATTATTTAAACTTCTCATTTTTGCCTTATATTTTATACCTTTAAAATTCTGGAAAAAGCTCAAAATATTCAAATGTACGAAATTACTGTTTTTATCAAAAGAACGAATACAGTCACTTATTTTTTCTGATCATTTTTTTTCAACTTTTAAGCCAATCTTCCCTCTTGTTTAAGTTACACTACACCTACTTCCATTCATCGGCCCTGTTTTGTAAATGTATTTATTTTTCTCACCCCATTTGCTTTCCCTGTGTATCTTACAGTCTAGCAGTAGAACATATTAAAAATGATTTTCCCCCTCTCCCAACTCAGAAATTCATAGTCTAAGAAGCAAGCTCAAGAAAAAGGTTAAGCTGAAAATGACGACCCTTCTCAGAGCTGAAACGCGGAGTGAATTGCAGAGAGATTCTCAGCAGGAAACAGAGTAAGGTGAACTCTTCTCTCGTTCTTCCTGCACGATGACTTCAGAGTCATTCCTCATTATTGAGGTTGAAATGTTATTCATTCTCTGCTATATTTTTATTCAAGTGTAAGCTCAAAACCATTTTCAGAGCAAGATATAAAGTGGTTTTTAAAAAGTATTATAGTATCTTCCTTTTTCCATCCATCACAGTCCCCCACACATATTGTCTGTGGTATTCATTAGTTTCACTGGACACTTTTCGCCCCATACGTACAACTATCCAAGTTTCTTTCCTGGTTCATTTAGTGCCAGGAAAGAGGTAGGCATGTTGCAAATCATTAAGGCATTGTCTTAATCAACAAATTTGTCACAAAAGACACAACGTCAGCAAAGTTCATGAGGAAGCATTAATAAATTTCTTGAGTCACTAAAATTTCACAAGCCGATTAGTTGGCACTTGAGGTAAATAATGTTTTGCTAGCTTTTGCTGATTCAGTTAAGTATCTACTATGTGCCAAGTGTTTAAAAGTTCTCTTCAATGTGTGACTTGGTCATTTCACTATTTCCTTCCTAAAAGTGAGACCCCAGGGCGCCTGGGTGGCTCAGTCGGTTAAATGTCCAGCTTTGTCTCAGGTCATGATCTCTCGGTTTGCGGTTCGAGCTCACGTCAGGCTCTGTGCTGACAGCTCACAGCCTGGAGCCTGCTTCAGATTCTGTGTCTTCTGCTCTCTCCACTCCTCCCCAGCTCGTGCTCTGTCTCTGTCTCTCTCTTTCAAAAATAAATAAACATAAGTTTTTTTTTAAAAAGTGAGACCTAAATATTTGTGCAAAGCAATGGGACATCAATACTAATGTGTTATCACTACTGCTACTATTGCTAACTGTATTACAGTTATTTGCACCTGGTAGGTTTCTTTTTTTAATTTCTGTGAAGATAAACACAATACAAACTGAAAAACTGAGTTACTAAATGGGTAAAAGATACTTTGAATCAGTTATTTAATCAAAGGATTAAATCAGTTATTTGAATCAGTTATTTAATCAGCTTATACAAAATAGTATATTTAAATGAATGCTAGAAAATTAGTGTCAAAGTTCTTGGGTTTTAAAATAACTGGATAGCCTTTTTATGGGTCCAGCATTGTCATGCTGTTTATTTATTTTATTTTTCTTTGTGGTAAGTTACTTTATCTCTTTTTTTCTTTAAGTCGTTGTATAAATAGCAGAGTCACAGAGTCTTTTAGGAAACTAGCAAGTTTTCAAAGACTCATAATGGCTTATCTGTTAGCTATTTTGAAAGAAAATGTCTAGAGACATTGGAGGAGCATTATCCACTAAAATTAAGACATAGGTTAACTATCATACATAAAAGATTTTGAACTGACATCTCCCAACTATGAAGGAAATAAGCTATCATTTGCAAGTTAGTCATAAAAGCAATTGGTACAGAAGATCTTGGGGATAATATAATCTGGGGTCCTGCTGTTAAAGCACCTTAAGCAATACATTGAAATACTAGCAAATAACAGATTTCTTCTATGTGCTAAAACCAAATTTGTTTTCGGTATAATTCTCAGTTGACAAGAAGGATCCAGACCTTAGTTACTCTGGCACTCTTCATTTGAGGTTGGATACTGCCCAGAGGTGAAGTCTGCTGTGGGGGATAGTGGGGGGGTTCAGGGAAGGTGTGGGGAGGGTGAAAGAATTGAGGGGAAGTGCTGTTAGACAGAAGCACTGCAATGTTTCCAAGAGCTGAGAATTTTCACTCTAATTTACTGTTGATTAATATTAGCAATTGACCATCGAATGAATAATGACCCTCTTGTATAACAAGCCAACCCCAAATTTAGCGGCTTACAGCAATTTATTATTTCTGATGATTCTGTATGTTGACGAGTGGCACTTAGACCTTACTTTAAGTGGGTGTCATCAGAGCACCTTTGGAACCTCCGAGAGGTCCACCATGGCCTCTTCCACACAGAAGGGGCTCCTGCCAGCTGCTGGCTAAGGCTCCTGCCTGGACAGCTTCTTCCACCTGCCTCTCCTTCTCTCTCTCTCTCTTTTTTTAATAGTTTATTTATTTTTGAGACAGAGAGAGGCAGAGCATGAGTGGGGGAGGGGCAGAGAGAGAGGGAGACACAGAATCTGAAACAGTCTCCAGGCTCTGAGCTGTCAGCACGGGGCCCAACATGGGGCTCGAACCCACGAACTGTGAGATCTGACCTGAGCTGAAGTCAGATACCTAACCGACTGAGCCACCCATGCGCCCCCTCTCCTTCTCTTTTAAGCAGCATTATTGTACTTGTCAGAAATACTGGAAGAAGGGAAGGGAAGAAGGAAGGGAGAAAATGACACAAGAAGAGAGGTAGGAGAAAGGAGAGTTGGGAAGGGAAAAGAAGGAAGGAAGAAAAAAGAAAGGCAAGACAAAGCCCCTCCACTCTCCTCCCTTCCTTCCCCTCCTGTCTTTTCCTCCTTGTTCCCTTCGCTCCCCTCATCGTTTCCATCTCCTCTCCTCCCCTCCCTGCCGTTCCCCTTCTCTGACCTTTCCTTCCCTCTCCTTCCCTCTTCTCTTCTCCTTTTCTCTCTCCTTCCTTGTCCCTGAAACCCCAAGCACACCGCCCACGTTCCTTCCCTTTCAGGATCCTCTGGGTGGTGCTCCACCGCTATCTCCAGTTGCTGGGAATGAAGGCTGCAGGCAGCTCAGGACCGACTGAGACCTCTGGGCACAACCCAGGGCCCGAGGGAAATGTCTCACC